GAACCACAAAAACCGATTTTCGACACTTTATCAAAGTATAATACAAATCTGCTCAGTGCTAGATTAAATACGTATTAATGTTGGAACTCGGTTGAAGTAACCACTCACACTCATCTATTCACCACTGTCAAGGTATTTCTTCTCATACACAAAAGAATTCTTTACGACAAATTTTCTGACTTGTATCTGATTCACCACTAAACAAACCCTAGGAGAGTTGATCTTTCTGCTCGATTCATTATGGGTATCTGTAGTTAACTGAACCTGAGCCTACCCTGGTTCCTCAAAGACCACGGTCGTTGCTCAAAGGAAGGCCTCTTCGTTTGTTACCGAAAGTTATGACTGGTGATCGTTCTCGACAGTCAGCTCTTGACTAACAGACATGATGTTATTTTGCATCTGCTAAAAGGGTGACATGAAAAGAGAAGCCGATATAGCAACCTTGTATGATTCGTAATCAGGACAATTGGACTATATCTTAACAAATGCCTGCTGCAGACAACTTTAATGTTCCTATTTGGGGCTAGGAGTGGATAACAAAATACACATAAACGTAAATGGCTGAAGGGTCAATGGGGCAAAGCCGCTAAGATGAGCATGTGATCATGTGAACGCAAATGCGGTTTCCACCGTTTATTGCAATCACTTCGGAGCTCTTCAGTATTTTGGTATTATCATTTGTGTAGATCACTCAAACTGATTTCTACCGTTCGATGTGGTGTTGCGTCATCAACAAATGCTTGTCAGTTAATGTAGCACAGTGAATGGTCTGCATGGATCAGATCAGTAACCGGCTTTGTTGACCCCGACATAGCAACGGTGCTTTGAACCCAGGACTGGAATATGTTCTAAAACCCGATGACGTAATTGCTTTTCCGTTCTGTCCATGTAGATATAGCCGTATTATTATTAGAATTGGTAGGTTAAGTTTGATTCGGTCTACAAAGGCAGGTTTTTAATTGGGGAGGGGATGTATGCTCCTCGTCCTGTACACAATTCTGGGTTTTGGTTGCGTTGTAAGTCCGGTTGGCATCCAATTATAAAAGTTGATGGGATAGAACAGTTAAAACATCATCATTGAATGGAAGACAAATGGTGACCTCAAATCTGTAAACGCTAACGCAACAACCCACCACATAGGTCTTCACCTTTCTCAGAATGTCTCCAAATTCTGTGGTCTTACCGTGCTGTAACAGTGAGTTACGTAACGGGTTCATCTTGTTTCATATCGTGTCATCCGTGAAATTTCCCGGACTCAATCCAATGGGATAGATACCACAACACTTCTATAGGCAATTCGGGTAAGACTTTCAGATTAATTTACAATAAGACCGTTTGGCTTTCAAATAATGTGAAGGAAGCCTCGAATACCGATCTGTTCATTTTACACGGTGAATTGTGTTTTTGGATGCATTCGAGTTGAGCCTTTGAGAACCCTGCCCTCCGTGATTATGAGAGAAAAATCGTCTGCTTATAGTTTAAGTAGCGCATTTCGTTTCGGTGAAGTCTGAACTCGAGATTCCGAATTTGAAATGAATAAATCCGCCAATACTGGTCCCAAAGGGGTTCCCATAGCGACACTGTCAACATGTCCATATGTCTTTCACTGTATTGTAAACGGGGCATTCGTGGTACACAGTAGTAGGAGTGAATCCAGAATGGACAGCTATAGACAAGTTCTCGCTTGTCCAACTAAGTTATGGGTTTATTATCAATGCGGAATTGGACTCACTGTGTTACGATATCAAAGATGCCCTTCACAATGTACTTAATCATTGAATTTCTCACCGATGGTAATTCACTGACGGGCCACTTTGATATTTGCTGTGGTGTTCAGTTTCTCATCTACAGGATTGGACCTAGTGGTATACCAAGTTGGAGTAATGTTGGCAGTTGATGCAGTTATTTAAGAAGATCTAGGGCAATAAATATCCCATTACAATCTGCAATTGATTATGATCCAATAGACGTTGTACGTCCAAGATAAATTTGAGACATTTGACCGAAAGTGAGATCAATAATTCTAGAAAACGAACGCTGGCTACGCAATCTATCTTCGGTTGATAATTTTAGTCAGTCTGAATCTAGTTTGCTGTATTACATTCATAAATTTCCCAAAATGACACTACAGAAACAAGAGGAGACTCGTGAAAATGAAAATTGCAAAAGTCATTGAATCGTGACTTGACTGAATCCCTCTGAACCGGAGAAATATACAATGAGTGTACTACCACCATTTATGTGGTGTAACAAACACTAAGACCACCCGTTTCGGCGAGAAACTGAACACTACAGCAAATATTAAAGTGGCCCGTCAGTGAATTACCATCGGTGAGAAATTCAATGATTAAGTACATTGTGAAGGGCATCTTTGATATCGTAACACAGTGAGTCCAATTCCGCATTGATAATAAACCCATAACTTAGTTGGACAAGCGAGAACTTGTCTATAGCTGTCCATTCTGGATTCACTCCTACTACTGTGTACCACGAATGCCCCGTTTACAATACAGTGAAAGACATATGGACATGTTGACAGTGTCGCTATGGGAACCCCTTTGGGACCAGTATTGGCGGATTTATTCATTTCAAATTCGGAATCTCGAGTTCAGACTTTACCGAAACGAACTGCTTTGCAAACTTTTATCTTTTTTAACTCCTTTTTTATTTATTGAACATACAAATGTAAATTCAACTTTCAAGAAGGGATTATACAAAGGTTGTCTGGCAATTTACAGAAATAGGGAAGACGGACAGCGGTGGTGGTGGGGGGGGGTCGAACCCGGGAATCCCGGGTTACAACTTGATGACCTAAACACTTGGCCACCACCGCTACCTCCAAAGAAAAGTCCACGATGTTCTTCTTCGTGATCACAGGCAAATTAAATCAAGTGGACAACATTCTCAAAGGGCCAACTGGACTGCACCCAAAAATACAATCCACCGTGTAAAGCGAACAGTACAGCAGCCTGAGTTTCGTCGAAACCCCTAAGGTTCGTGGGGAATAAAGCATGGTGCGAATTGCCGGTGAGTACCCTCAAGAACAAAACAGTGACTAGTCAGTGTTTTATGCCGCTACTTCCGCATTCATCTTAACAACTGAAATAGGACCAATTCGTTAAACGTTTCAAGTTCACGAATTGGTAAAACGGAATGTGTTGCACGTTATGATCATTCCCCGCCATGAATGTAGTTGCTGCTGACTTGTTCCAA